ACGACACAGCAAAACCCTGTTTCAAAAAAATTAAATAAACAAATAAATGAATGCAAACTTTGGGACAAAAAGGAATCCTTCTGCACTGCTGATACAATATAAATTAGTACAGCCACTATAGAAAGCAGTATGGTAGTTCTGCATAAAACTAAAACTACAGCTACCATTTGATCCAGCTATCTACCAACACTTGGCATATACCCAAAACAATTAAAGTCAGTATACCATAGGAATACCTGCATAGCCGTATTTATTGTGGCACAATTCACAATAGCCATGCCCACACATGCCTATTGACTGAGAAATGGATAAAGAAAATGTGGTATCTATACATACTGGAGTATTTTTCAACCATAAGGAAAAATACAATTCTGTCATCTGCAGGACAGTGGATAGACTTAGAGCAGAATAAGGCCAGACTCAAGGACAACTATCACGTATTCTCCTTAATATGTGGGCTCTAACAATGATGACAAGAAATTTTTTTAAAATTGGGAACTAGAGACTTCTTGACATGACCATTATACATGCTGATTAAGCAAAGAGCTATAAACTAACAAAACATCATAAACCATAAGCAAGAGAGAAATAAAATGAGTAAAACCATTCCAGGTAGAAGAGAGGGGTTATGTTCTATGCAGGTTACCTGGGTGCTAAAGTCTGAATGTGTCTGTCTCTCCAAAATCCACATGTAAAAATCTAATCCCCAAGGTATTACAAGTGGGAACTTTGAGCAGTGGTTAAGTCAAGAGGATGAAGCCCTCATGAAAAGAATTAGTGGCATTACTTTTCACTGTTTTTCCTCTTAATTTATTAGTGTACATTTGTAGTATACAGTGATTCATTCCTTAAGGGGAGGTAGTTCAGGTACCTAAAACCTCTCAATTCTTTTTTATCCCCTCCCACTTCCCCTCCCTCTTCCTCCATCTCTTGGTCTCCATCTCTTTTGTAAAAGCTCTATCTCCTTGTTTCCTATGATCTATCTTACTTTGCTCTTTAATTTATTTATACTTTAGGTTTCTCTTATCAGAGAAACCATGTGATATTTAAGTTTGCGTTTAAGCTTGATTTATTTCACTTGACAGTATGGTCTCAAGGAGTGTCCATTTTTCTACAAATGACTCTCCCTTCTTCATGGCAGAGTAATACTCCATTGTATATAAATACCACATTTTCTTATCCATTCATCTTATAATAAATGAGGACTTATACAAGAGGAATAAGGGATCTGTGCATCTCTTCTGCCATCTGAGGACACACAGAAGGCACCATTTTTGAGCAAATGGTCCTCACCAAATACCCAGTCTGCTGGCATCTTGTCTTGGGCTAGCCAGCCTCCAGAACTGTAAGCAATAAATGTCTATTGCTTATAAGTTATCTAGTCTAAGGTATTTTGTTACAGTAGTCTGAACAGGCTAAGGCACCTGACTTCTTTAAAACTGAGTTGAAATTGCAGATAATAGGGAGTAAGGAGATAGATCTTTCTCAAAAAAGAAAGGGATTGTTATGGTTTGTGTCTAGATGTCCCCCCCAAAGCCTCATGTGGTCATGAGGAGTGGGCTTTTGTGGGCAGCTAAATCTAGAGTTTGTGATTTGTTCATTGTCTAGTACTGGGATTGGGGACATGAGTGCTATACCTGCCTTCGGGTAGGTAGCTTGCATATAATATAAGGGAGGGAAAGAGGCTTGCTCTCAACCTCTCCCCCTTTTGCTCTTCTTGCTTTTCATGTCTTCTACCACCATGAATGGTTGCCTCTCTGCCACATCACCCAGCCTTGGAGCCAGCTGATTATGGACTGAACCCTCCACAAACTGTAATTTAAATAAAGCTTTCCTCCTTTAACCTTGGGTGTTGGGTATTTTGTCTCAGCAATGAGAGAAAAGTAACCAAGACAGGGATAAAAGGATGGGTAGAGGGGGGATGAGGAGAGGAAAAGTGGATGAGAAAAGGAATAAAGATGTGTTTTGTACATGTACCAACTCCACACATGGAATGTAAACACTGTATGTGACACATATGTACTAAGAAAATAAATAAATCACCCCCAAATTTACAGCATCTCAGTTGTCTTCTCATTTTTATTATTTGTTTCTTAATGCTAAAATACAGCCTTTATTTTACATAGCAGTGAAAAAATAGTTTCACAAAACAAAACCTTAGTGACAAACCTTATTGTATCATAAAGCCAACTTTGAGCACAAGGACCCACAAGGGACTATTTACCAGATGAACTTCTAGAATTTAGCTTTCCAGTATCAGACACTTCTTGATTCGTTTGGTCACACATTTTCAGTTTTTGATGTTCTGATCATCCTTAGAGGTAGGTATGAGAATTAGGGCGTGAGTCCCCCAAATTTTGTAATTTCCTTAGAGATTGGCTCTCAAACTTCTTGACAAATGGGATCTGGTGGTTTTGGCTACCCCCAAGAGTTAGGTTGCTGCTCTCAGAGTCCTCAGAAATGCCACTGATTACCACTTTGTTCTCACTAAAAGACACAGAAGACAGGGGAACTTTGATAAGAGCAGGCTAAATACTGCAGAAAAAACTTGTTTGATTTTGTTTAAAAAAGTCACCATTTTCCTTTTTTGTTCTGTCCCCACAGGAATTCTATGTAGAACTCCTGGCTAGAAAATATAGTTTTTAAAAATGACAACAAATCATATTTGTCAAAGGAAACAAGACAACACTCATATTCAGAGGAAGCTGATTGCAGTGCTGGGGCCCGCCCACCACCTGCACGCCCAGAACCTCATAGCCTCCGGAAAGCTGCTCTGAGAAGTGAGGCTAGCAAAGCCAGCACCATGAACACAGGAAGCTCTTGGCAAACCTCAACTGCATTAGCTACCCTCCTCCTTCCTGCCTTGGTATCCTGTGTCATTTGCCATTTCAGAACTTGAAAAATTAATAATGACAGTGGCTTTACTGCAGAATAATTCAAAAACCATGTGACTCACCCATTGAAAACATATATGCCAACACTTTTCAGCATAAAGGTCTCCGACCCTCACCACTGTCTCATTATATCTGTCTCATTACATCTCATCACCCCCAAAAGAAGTCCCTATGAATCAACACCATTCCCTATATTCCCCCTACCCTTTCCCAGCCCTACCAACATCTGATGTACCTTCTATGTCAATGAATTTGCCCATTCTGGACAGTTCATGAAAGAGGAATGACACAGAACATGCTCCTTGGTGGCTGGCTTCTTGGTCTAAGCATAACATTTTTGAGGTTCGTTGTACTGTAGCATGTGTCAATGCTCCATTTGTTTTTATTGCTACATAATATTCCAGTTTATGGATAAGCCATGTTTTATCTACCCACTCATCAGTTGATAGGCATTTGGGTTGTTTCTACATTTTGATTATGATGGGTAAAGCTAATACAAACATTCACATACAGGTTTTTATGTGGATATATATTTTCATTTCTCTTGTGTGTATACCCAGGTGTGGAATTGCTGGGTCACGTGATAATTTTATGTTTAGCCGTTTGAGGAATTGCTGGGCTGTTTTAAACCACAGCTCAGTATTTTTTAAAACTTCCTTTTTTAGTGTCTCACTCCACCATTAGTTACTGGAGCAGTGGGATCCTTTTCCAGTCCTGCCCTGGCCCCCACAGCACTTGAAACCACAGAGATGCTAACAGCTGTTTGCAGTGATTTCTGCCATTTCTTTTTCTCCACTCTTCAGAGCCCACATTCCTCAGCCCACTAATGACCTCGGTCCTCACCGTGAGACGGAGGAGCACTTCTTGCTACAGTTTCCCTACCCAAGCTTCCTCCGCTACCTGTTCCTTAGTGGGTCTGCTTCTCTCACAATTTCTACTGCCTTCTCTCCCTCTCTCCCTCTGCCCCTGCCCCTTTGGTGCTTTCCCTTTCCTTATGCTTCCTGGTTGCCATGAAGTAAGAAGCTTTTCTCTGCCACTTTTCACTGCCGCACAGCTAACCGTGGACTGAAACCGTAAGCCAAAATAAACCATTGCTTCTTTAAGCTGTATGTATTAGGTATTTTGTACCAACAATGGAAAAGTAACTAATACTATAGTCCTATGGTGTTCATTTTAAATAGTATTTTCTAATAGTATTTTGTATCTTTTTAAATAGCTGTCCAAGCTCTGTCTCAGCAGAACACAAGGAATGAGAGGGGAAATTACATCAGTTTTGTTATAACCACAGTGCCCTCTGCAGCAGAAATCAAAAGGCACATTCTAACTGCCCATCAAAACCACCGGTGGACTTCCTAGTTCCGCTTTCTCAGGGCTCAATGGGGCTTGCACCACTAAGGTGCTTGGTCCCCAGGGCTTCCATAATGTCCTCCTCTGTACCTCACAGAAGCTGGCTGGTGGAAGAAGGTACAGAGGATTTCACCTGGCGGAGGACATACCCATCAATTCCTTAGTTTGGGAGTGAATGAATCATACACTGGCCAATCAGGGCTGCAGACCATTTCACCGCCAACTTTCACCTTCACTGTCATGGCGCCACTGCTGTGGAAGAGGCCAGTAAGCCTCGGCCCTTACTCCTCGCCCCCGCTGCCTTTTCCAATGCTCTGCATTGTTCTCACGGAATTAAAAGAAAAAGAAGATGAATCACTGCCAGTACATGCAGTTTATCAGACACTCCTGGCTTTTGTAGTTATGTGTTATGGTTTCGTTCATATTGCAGGGAAGTTTAAAGACATGGATGCCGCTTGAGAACTGAAGAAGAGGGGCTGGGGATTTAGCTCAGCGGCACAGTACCTGCCTGACAAGCCCAAGGTCATGAGTTCAATTCCCAATATTGGAAAAAAAAACAAACAAAAACAAAAAAAGAACTGAAGAAGACATTCGACGCCTTAAGGAATCACCCATCTTTTTAAGTATTTAATCGTGGTGATGGAATACTACTTCTGGCTAGCCCACACCCCACAGACCCACCTCTTCCGGCCAGGCCCCGCCTCCTAACAGCAAGTCCCCCGGTGACCCCAAATTCCCACCTGTGACTGCATGAGAGGCGTTAGGCGGACCTCTAGCTACCAACCATAACCATGTGACGCACTTCTTTGTGGAATTCTTACAACTTCTTAGTTTTTAAATTATTTGAAAATAAAAAGGTTAAAATACAAAGGAAGAGGAGGGCCCTAAGCCCTCTGCTAGGGCCTAAGTCATACCATTTGTGAAGTACACTAAGGTTCTGGGGCCACCATGAAACCCACAGCCCAATGTGGACAGGTGAGGGCATGGGGTGCTCTCACATATGGCACTGCGGCTGAAACCATCCTGGTTTGTAGAAGGCTGACAAAAAAGCAGAGAGTGAAAGTGAGCTCACCAGGCGGAGGCGACACCCATAATTCCTTAGTCCGGGAGTGAATGAGTGCCTCATCAGGGCTGGAGACCATGCAGAGGAGGCGGGCCCATTTCTGAACCCGGATGAAGTTTGAGTGGTATGGGGTGAAGCCCAGGGCCCAGGGGTCGGGTACACACAGCCTTTTGCAGTGCTCAGAGCGGGCCATGTTACAGGTTGTGCATTTTACAACTCACCATCCTGGGTTGGCTGTTCACAGACCAGCTCGATATTGCCTGGTTTTGTTCCAATCAGGAAGAAATCCTCAGCTGGGTGCGGTGGCACACACCTGTAATCCCAGCTACTCTGGAGGCTGAAGCAGGAGGACTGCTTCGAGTTGGAGGCCAGACTGGACAACACAGTGAAACATTGTCTCTAAAGGAAAATCATAGGGTGAAGGGCAGCCAGGGGGTGCAACTCACTCCTTGGATTCAATCCCCAGTACTGGAAAAAATAAAAATAAAAACCCTTAAACTTGGACACAGTAAATTGTCACTGGCTCCAGGTTTCTGAGGACCTAAAATCATACAGTAATTTGAAACTGGTATTGGAGACAAAAGTAAGAACATGCCCCAGCACTAACAAGATGCAGTCTTCTTCCTTTTATTTTTCACACTTTTCGTAACGTCTGCTTCAGACTTGAGATAAGAAATATCAGGTAGCAGGCCGCGAACTTCTCAGTTCATTTTGGAGGACGCTGACACCATTCTAAGAGATGTGGCGAAACCAGCTGCGGTGCTCACACACCATCTCGTTTTAAGGCTAAATTCTGGAACTGGATTGTGATAAAGTGTCTGTGGTTTCAGATTTCTGAGGACCTCAAAGCTGTAACAACAACAAAAAAAATAACAAGAAGCATTCTGAAAGCAGTAAAGATGAAAATGTGAAAATGTTTGGCAGTTGTACTGGAGTGTATAGTAAGTATCCTCCCCAAGTTCATGCCAACACCAAACCTCAGAATGGAGCCTTATTTGAAAGTAGGTTTTGGGCAGAAACAGTTAAGGCGAAGTCATACTAGATTAGGGTGGACCTTAGTCCGCTGACTGGTGTCTTTATAAGAAGAGGAACAAGGATAAGAGGGACAGATCCACAGACACACACAGCACCCATCTGAACAAGGGAGCAAAGGTTGAAGCGATGTTTCTCCATGCCAAGGGACACAAGGATTGCCAGCTGCTGTCAAAAGCAGGGAAGAATCCTCCTCTGGAACCTTTGGAGGGGTCATGGCTCCCCGCAACACCTTGATATTTTACTTCCGGCCTCCAGAACTAAGAGATTATATTTCTATTGTTGTACCCTGGGAATGTAGCTCCATGGAATAGCACTTGCATAGCATACACAAATTTTTCCATTTCCGGTATTGAAGAACAAATCTATTGTTTTCAACTGCTCCCTTGGTGGTCATTTATTAGGGCAGCCCTAAGACACTTAACATAGCGGTGAAGGATGCTTTGTTTCTTCCTGATGAGTTGCAATCTCTCCTTGGTGCTGAAATGAGAAGGAGAAGGTTCCAGGTCACTGTACAGGAGCCAGGGACTTACCTGAGGAATGACTCTGTGTGTTGACTCACTCTCGTTTTTCAAGCTCTGGTTCCAAAAAATGTTCAAGCCAGGCCAATTGCTGAAAGAAAAAAAAAGAAAAAGAAAAAGAAAAACAGTCTGAATCATGCAAAAAATTCCCTGTAATTTTCTTCCTGAGTTGAGTTCATGGCTATATCCCAGCTGCCTTATCACTCTTGATGGGGCCGAGCAGACACTGCCCAGCGCATTTGTTTCCGTGTCCTTCAGAACTCCTCATTAAACAGCCACTAACTTATGGGCTGAGACTTTGTAAATCTAGATCTATTGCTTGCATCTATTATGAATGAAAATGTGCTCAGCGTGGTGGCACACACTTGTAATCCCAGCACTTGGGAGGCTGAGGCAGGAGGATCATTGCAAGTTCGAGGCCAGCCTGGTCTACAAATTGAGCTCAAGGCCAGCCTGAACTGCATAGTGAGACCCTGTCCCAAAAAGACAAAAAAAATAAAATAAAATGAATGAAATGTGCCCAGAAGATTAGACCTGTGGGGACATTATCTGTAACCAGAAGAAATCATGGCAAGGACAGATTTTAATTGGGTTGAACAATTCAATAAAATCAGCAAACATGGGTGGCCCCCCATTTGCCTTCAGCCTGGGGCCTCCCTGAGGGTTGCCCTGCACACCTGTCCCCAGGGACTTGACAGACTGGGAGTAACCAGAATCAACCATTATTTAGTGCTTCCAGTGTTCTAGGCACTTCACATTTTTATTTAATTGCCACAATATCCCAATACAGCGGATGTTATTTTTTACCTTATTTTTTAAAAGAGGAAACAGGACACAGAATGGTTAGATAACTTACCTAAGACAGCACAGGCAAGAAGTGATAGGTCCAAGACTTGCACCCCCGTGGTCTGGCTCCAGAATAGGTAACAAGCAGACTCTAATTTGCCTACGTGTGATCTCTCCTCCTGGTGCTCACTCCTTTTGAGTAATCTCCCCTTGAGTGCGGAAGTTACCAGTGACTTGCTTCTAACCAAAAGAATGTCATAAGGTGATGCGAGGTGTGATTAAAAAATACGGTGGATGTTTACATTTAAAAATTTATCACAGTAAAAGACATTGCCATTAATCCCCTTCAAAATACTCCCCCTTGTTTCAAACGTGCTTATACCATCATTCCTGCCACTCTCTGAAACAGCTCTTGGAAACCCCTTTTGTGAATGCCTTCAGCTGCGTTGTCATGCCTGCCTCCACGTCTTGAATTGACTCAACATGTTGGCCTTTCGTAGTATTTTGACTTTGGGAAAAAGCCAGCTATTTCGCAGTGCCAGATCCCGGGAATGATGTGGTGGATGGGGACACACTGCGATGTCTTCACGACCCGCCTTGCCAGCATATGGCACACGGCAGCAGTGTTCACCATATTTTTATCATACCTTATAAGGACATTCAGGAAGGAGACCTCCCAAAACTGCTTCAGAAAGTAGCAAGGACAATGGGGTGAGTGTGTTAAAGTTGGGGGAGAGGAAGTATTTTAAGGGGGATTTATGGCAATGTGTCTTTTATGCCAATCGTTTTTTAAAATGTAAGCGTTTACCATTTTTCGATCATACCATGTATCTTGCTGGCAGGTACTCTCTGTTGCTCTTCTGAGGGTCAGACTTTGGTGAAAGAAGCCACAGTGTTGGAGAGACCAGCACGGCAGGGACCTGAAGATGCTTCTGACCAACGACATCAAAGAACTGAGGTCCTTAATCCAACAACCCTCAGAGAACTAAACTCTGCCAACAACCGCATGAGCTTAGGAATAGATGCTTTTCTAGTTCACCCTTCAAGGTGAAATGGGGAAGAAGGGCCCAGTGCTCCCTGAGAGGTACATTCTATTTTTTTTTCTTCAGCTGCTGTCCCAGACACGCATCAGCTAGCCACAGCAGCACCAGGGGTCCTGTGGCTGCTCTGGGAGACATTTCCTCTGGCTGCAGCAGATTTCAGTCATGGGTCCGTCACAGGTGACTGTTTCACAGCCTCTCTCCATGACTCTGCCCCTCTCTGGCCATCCTCAGCCAGTTCCGTGAGTAGGCCACCCCCTATCTATGACAAACAGAAAGTCTGACACTGCCTATGTAAGCCTCCTTTTTTTTCCTATTTAAGCAACCTCCTTCATACCCTCAGCAGGTCAGTCCATGCACCGTTCCCCATCACGCTGGAGCAAAAGTCCTAATAAAGCCTCTTGTGGACAGCACGCTTTTGCCTATTCATGATTTCTATTTCAAGTACAGCAGGTGGAGCTGGTGTAGTGAGAGCTGGTAGCACATCAGGCCACTGGTGCCCAAAGTGGTCAGAAGACAGGGTGGATAACACTGAAGGTGACCAGCTGCAGAGAACAATGGAGAGTAACAGAGAATTGCTGGGAGCTGCCAGCTTTGTAGCTGGAAGAGTCCCTGAGGACTTCCAGGGGATGCTTGTTCTGGGAGCCAGGAGAGCAACAAGGAGGGTCACTAGCACCCACTGGTATTCAAAGCTTAGGGCTGTTAACACTGAAAGAGCTATACTGCCTATCTGTGATTTCTATCTGAATTGAGCAAAAGACCCTCCAACAGCTTGGTAACAAAGTGAGACCCCAGCCCTGGTGAACACCTTGATTATAGCCTTGTGAGAGACCTTTAACATAGATGCTAGCTAAGTGTCTCTGAATTCCTGACCCACAGAAAATGTAATAAGCATATGTTGTTTTAGGTTGAATTTGGGTGTTATTGTTATTGATGACAACCCTGCTGGTAGTGAGTCCTAGCCAAGCCACTAACTTGCTGAACATGGACCACCTCTGGACTGCAAGTTCCTCATCAACTTAGTGAGGGATGGATTAGTTTCATTCATTCACTCAACAACTATTTCCTGAACAATACTCAGTACCAGGAATAGATACCTTTTCTACCTTTCACAGTGAAATGGGAAAGAAGGGCCCAATGCTCCCTAAGAGATATGTTCCATTTTTTTCAGTTCTAGGTATTCTCCAGATACAACAGAGAATAAAATGGAGAGTCCCTATCCCTTCAGATTTTTACTTTAATGAAGGAAGGCAGACAATGGGACAACTTGTACATATGTCATATGACAGATTGCAATACCCACGATGGGAAAGCATACAGCAGAAGATCATTAATTTACAAAATGCTGTTGACCAGCAGAGGAATCAGGGATGTCCTTGTGGGGAGAGAAAGAGAGAGAGAGAGAGAATTTAAGCAAGAGACCTGAAAGAAGTGAAGGAACATTTGCAAATATATGTGGGGTATTACATTCTCAGGGGGAGCAACAAATGCAAAGACACCATATGGGAGCATACGTTGCATGGATCAAGAATTTGTAAGGGGTCTACTGTGGCTACAATAGAGGGCTCTAGGAGCAGACACAGAGAGTCCTCAGAGTGCATAGTCAATAGATAATGCAGTGAACACCAGGGAAATCTGAGTCCCAAATCTAAGGCTTTAACCACCTCCTTTCACTTCCAAAGCTGACCAAGGATGGTCAGTGCCTGGTGAACAAAAGGTATGCAGTGATTACATATAGAAGACAGGGAAGAAAGGGGGCTATTCAGGGGCTAGGGAGGGTCTAGTCTTTCTCTGTGCATATGCACAACTCTCCTCCCAACATCAGTTTAAGCCTGGATTAATTGAATTGCCCCAGTCCAAGGTAAAACTTACTTCAGATGTCTGCCGTGAAGCTTGAAGCCAGTAGGAATTTTTAGGTTCTTCCTTTGGGTTGTGTAGTAGGCAAGAGTCACCTGTGTATTTGCCAGATTGCCTCACATATGTCTTTATGCTTTTGTTCCATTAAAAGAGAAAAGCAAACCTAGATGTCAGAAGTGATGTATTATTGTACATTTTGCATGAGAATGGCAATATAAAACTCACCCAGCAGTCCCATATCAACATAAAGGTCTCAACCCTTGCTCATTGAAACCAGCCATTTGGACATATAGAATTCATTTGTCTCCATTCTATTAGTCTGAGGAGAAACAGATCACAGTTCAAATCCAAGTTGCTTCATTTCCTAACTGGCCACCTTGAGGAAATGAAAGTATCATGAAGCTTTCATTCCAAGTACAAAAACACCAGTTCACATCACAGTAGCAGAATAAAATATGCATTTTTCTATGTTATAATGATGATAAAAAGAAAAAAGAAAAACACAAGAGATATCAACAAATATTTGTAATCTGGAGAGGCAATAAAAGATCAATACTTACATAGAGAAACCTGGAAAGTAAGTGGTTAAGAAGGGACTTCCTGGGAAAAGCCAGGTCTCTGGAATAACCCAGAGACCCCAGAAAAGCTCACGGTACAGGTGGGCCAAGTACCTCGGGAGGCAGGACCAAAGTGATGCAATAGACTGGATCTTCTCACCCAGTGACAATAGAAATGAAACCAAGGCAAGAGGCAGGAACAGAGGTAAAGTTTTAATGAGTGTGTATGTGGAGGGGGGGGGGGTCCTACCTCCAGGAGAGGGAAGACCACCCTGATATAGAAAGGCACAAAGTTTAACAAAGAAAGGGACAAGCTTTCTATTGGATTACTGGGCTGGAGTAAGAGCTGTTAATTTTCCACTGGCTTTAGTGTGGTATTTAAGACATTTCTTCCTTGTATGAAACATATCAGCAGTGAGACATGATGACACCTATGCAAGACCACCAGCATGAGTCTCATTGAAAGAAGAGCAATTGTCTCCATTTTGGCTAAACTTGGCCCTATTTCTGTGTACTGATATGTACAGAGCTGGCTAGGATATTTCCTTATCCCCTCAATTGGCTTTAAGCAACACAAATGGGTCTAGCCCAGGTGTTGATGAGTAGTCTTTAAAGCAGTGTGACAGGTCAGTGATGCTGCGCCTGTAGCTCCCAAGTAGTATGGGTGAGCTAGGATGAGGGACCCCATGCTGTCGGCTGAGACTGAGCCTTGAGGAAAGAGGATATGACCTCTCAGAGCATGATTGCATTACACATCAAAACTGAAGTGCGTTGGGGGCTGGGGATTTAGCTTAGTGGCACAGCACCTGCCTGGCAAGCACAAGGTCATGAGTTTGATTCCCGGTACAGGAAAAAAACAAAAAACAAAACAAGCAAACAAAAAAAAACTGAAGTGCGGACTCCAAAACACTAAACACTGCCCCAACCTGTGATATGCAGATTACTTTTTCTGCATATACAGTGATCCCTCCCCTATCATAGGAGTTATGTTCCAGAGACCCCTGCAGTAGGTGAAATTCCACAAAGTAGTGGCTTTATAAGTATTTTATTATTTATATATATTTTAAGGCTTTATAAATCCTTCCCACACTCCTATAAACCTTTCCCACTCTCTTATTAACCTTTCCCACACTCTTATAAACACTTCATATGCTCTTAAGCACTTTCTACACTCTTAAACCCACGTGACTTTAACAACATGTGAAATTGTATATGGGTACTCATGATGTGGACAAGGAGAGATGCTGAACGTGTGGTCACAGTGCAGGAGAGCAAACAGACTGCTACGGTCACTGAGCCAATCAGCACCCAGGATACAGAACACAGTGCTATGATTAGTTGCCTTCCATTCCATCAGCCAGGGGCTGAGGATTTAGTTCAGCGGCACAGCGCCTGCCCAGCAAGCCCAAGGTCATGAGTTCAATTCCCGTTACGGGGACGGGGGGGGGGGTGGACTCCACAGTACAGAATTAGATACATCTTTTTTAAAAACCTGCGATACAATGAAGCCATAATAAGTGAAGCACAATATAGTGAGGGATGACTGTATATATATCCCCCTTTCTACATATTGCAGAGGTGAGTTCAGGCCTCCTACCTAGCCCAGCTCACAGTGCTCACGTACTCCTGCCTTTCTCTCAGTCAGTCATCCCTGAGCCACTCCTCTCTTCACAAGTTAATAAAACCCAGGTTCATCCCTGGGTCGAGGCCTTTGTTCCAGCTAGCCATTGTTCTGACTGGATTTAGGACCCCTTGTCTCCCCACAACTACAAACATGCTTTAGTGTCTTTATTCTCACCATGGGTTGCACTGGAAGTGGTAGATTGGAATTAACTTCTTGGAATTCCAATAACCTTCCCTTGGGATTACAAATGTGAACTCCTCTGGACCATGACAAGGTCTGGGAAAGGATTTCAATAGACACCATTCTGGTTTTTACAGTATAGCTGGTCTTTATGATCAATCTGATAGAACAGGAGGACAGAAAGACACATGTCGTACTTACATGAGAAACAGGCTATGATTGAGGCCTGAGTGTTTATCTACCCTTTGCCCCTGTGGTTGTCCCTTGACTGTCTCAAAGGAATGAAACTGAAACTGGGTGGATTGGCAATCAGCGATCATCTGTACAAGAAGCATGAGTCCTTTTTGGTTCCTCGCAGCTTCCACACAGACTACCTTTCGCCACATCCCACAGGTTTATTCTCTTTTTTAAAAAATCGAGAGTGACATCAGCAAGAAGGTTGAAACAGAGCTGCCTATCCACTCATCCTCCCACAAGAAGGAAACACAACAAGAAGAAACAACTATGCCCCAACTGTAGTGGCTGAGGAGCTGTGCCTGGGAGCAGCAGGGAAGTGTTGGGATCCGTGCAGAACATGAACGGATGTTCATAAAACAGCAGCATAGAAAGGACAGCAAGGTAGCCCTGCCTTACCCGTTCTGTCTCCCTGCCAGGTCAGCTAAGAGCCAAAAAAGACTCCTTCTTATGAGGAAAAGCTAGGTTAGAGCACTTAGTGCTCCCCATTGACACTTGACACACCTGCAAAGGAGCCTCCTGCAGCCTTCATGGGCCCCAAGCACAGTCTGTACAGTCAGCCAGAGTTTATTTGTCTGTATTACCAGAGTAGGAGGCCCTGGTACGTATACTTTACCCCATGATCTAAGCCACTAGGGCTCAGGGCCATCTTGAAAGTAAACCCACTGCTAGTAGCCACAGAGCACCTCCGTTCTTGAGGCCCAGTCACTATTCTACCACACTCACACAGGTACCCACAGCCCCACACCGCAGCAGCTCAGAGCTTAGGCCCAGTAGAAAGATGAAGACTCCAGCTTCTCTGAGGGTGATGCCCTTTCTTCCGAGAAAAGGCAAACTTGTAGAGAGGTGGAGCTGACACACAACCAGCAGCCTACGTGGCTGCACTCAGCCAAGCAGCCCACCAGGTATTGGCCCAAAGCCCCTAGAAAGCTGACTGCAAATGCAGAGGGCCTGCAGCCGCCATATACCCCCAAACTTGCCCAGCAGCCATCCAGAGACATCCTTGCCTTGTCGCCACCGTGACCCCCACACAGCTCACCAAACCACAGGGCCCACGGGGCACACTAAAACCAAGCCCCTCAGCCTGCCAAGTGACCACCTAGCCCCCTCCTAGGAGACTCTGCTGCATAGCCAACTAAGCTGCAGCACTCATGTGCACCCCAGGATGGCTTGACAGCCAGCCCAATGGCTGACACAACCCCAGGAAGCCTGCTGCATGACCACCTAGCCCAGAGCACTACATATGCCCAAGCCTAGCTCAGCACGAACCAGATGAAAGCCACCCACCAGAGCCTGTGCTATCTAACCAGCAGCCCATGGCACCTGCAGGCATCTGTGCCTGGTCTAACAGCCAGTCCAACTGTGGTCTCACTTCCAGGAAAATGGTGCCACACCACCATGGTCACACATGCCCTCAGACTAGGCCACTGGCACAACTGCAGAAACCACTAGTGAGGATTAGGGCTGAAGAAACTGCACAAAAACAGCACATCTACATTCGCTCAGTATCAAAGCAAACACAGCATGCCCAGCCAGCACCCTGGCACCCAGTCACAGAAAGCCTTTCTCTACAAAAGCAAAAACAAAAAAAAGAAACAAAACAAAAATTTAAACTCTATAAAATTGGAAAAGGCAACTGCTGAACTAGATGTACAGCTATAACATATGGACACAAATAACATTAAAAGGTAGCCAGGCCCCGTGGGACACACCTGTAATCCCAGCACTCAAGAAGCTTTGGCAGGAGGATCACTGAGAGTCCGACACCAGCCTGGGTTATATAGTTAGTTCAAAGCCAGCCTGAACTGCACAGGGGGACTCTGTGTCAAACAAAATAAAACAAAACAAAACACATGAGAAAACAAGGAAAAATAACCACCCCTTCCCCTAAGAATGCAACAACTTTCTAATAATAGATTCCAAAGAACAGGAAATGTATGAAATCCTCAGAAAGGAATTCAAAATAATGGCCTGAAAGAAGCTCAGTGAGGTACAAGAAAAATGCGAACAAACAATTCAGTTAAATCAGGAAAATAATATATGATCTGAAAGAGAAATTTGACCAAAAAGAGAGATATCCTAAAAAATAACCAAACAAAAATCTTGCAGCTGAGGGAGAAGATTAAAAATACAACTAAAAACCACAGCAACAGACTGATGAAGCCAAAGAATGAACTTCTAAACTTGAACATACATGTTTTACATTAACTCAGTCAGGGGCTGGGAATTCAGCTCAGTGGTACAGCACCTACCTGGCAAGCATAAGGTACTGAGTTTGATTCCTAGTACCAAACAAATTTTAAAAATAAATAAATTAACTCGGTCAGCGATGAGGAGGTGCAGAGAAAACAGAGTAAAGAAGAGCATATAGTCTGTGAAAACATCATTAAGTGAACACAAATTCACATTATGGATGTTATAGGAGGAGAAGACAGAAACTTGAAGAAAACATATTTAAGGAAATAATAGCTGAAAACTTCCCAAGTCTAAGGAGAGATAAGGACATCCAGATCCATGAAGCTCAAAGAAATAAACTCAATGCAAAAAGGTCCCTTCCAAGCACAGTATAATCAACTGTGAAAAGAATCACAACTCATCACTATGGAAAACCCCAAACCTAAAAGTGATTGGTTTCCTGCCCTGCTGTAATTCCTGCTGAGTTGCTATGGCACCCAGCCAATATGGCACTGGAGGTCATGCGGTATCAGGCTGAGTCACTATGGCTTCCAGCCAATATGGCGCTGCTCACTAGAGGCTATGTACTAAGCCCCACCCTTCTTTGGCTGAGTCAAATTACAACCTCCTACTTCCCTTTTTTGTAATATCCTGTTCTCTTTTCCCACACTCCCACCCAATTCTGGTCTGCCATGTCAGGCAGTCTGCCTCCTAAACCCCACCTCCAGCCTGGGGCTACTTAACCTTGAGCCCCACGAAGGATCCTTAGAAGCCACATTTTTCTCTTTCTTTGTGGTCTTCTCCACGTCCACAATAAAGACATTTTATTCTATTTTACTTCTCTCTGCGCTGGAAAAACCTATCAAAAAGGTTAACAATAAGAGAGACAGAAGGGAATAAAGAGTATACAGCAGAACCATAAAATAGTTAACAGATAGTTATCTATCACGAATAACCTTGAATATACATGGACTAAAACCCCAATTAAAAGACATAGATTGAGCTGAATGCAGTAGTACACACCTGTAATCTTAGTATTCTGAGAGGCTGCAGCAGGAAGATTGAAAGTTCAAGCCCAGTCTGGGCAACTTAGAGACTTAGCAAGAATTTGTCTCAAAATAAAAAATACAAAGGGCTGGAGATGTAGCTAAGTATAAAGGTCCTGGATTCAATCTCCTGTAACACACACACATATGCACAACAACAACAAAAAAAAACCAACTCTATATATATATGGGCTAATTAGATTTTTAAAAACAAAACTTAAGCCATATTCTGCTTACAAGAAACTAATGAAGCCATAAAGGGAGAAAGTGATGGGATGGTACAAGATATTCCATGCAATTAGAAAGCAAAAGTGAGCAGGAGTGGCTATACTTACATCAGACAAAACAAACATTAAGTAAAAAATTATACAGAGACAAAAGTGATCATTATGTAATGATAAAGGATCAGTTCAGTAAGAGGATATAGTAACTGTAAATACATATGTACCCAATACCAGACCACCAAAATAAGTAAAGCAAATATTAGTAGATCTACAGGGAGAGATAGATTCCAATTAAATAATGATTGGGGGCTTCAACACTGCATTTTCACCAATGGATAGATCATGCAGAGAAAAAATCAACAAAGTCCAGGGTGAACTGGTCCCAAGAACGAGGTACCCATGGATGAATAGAAAAGTAAGAGAAACAAGAAAATCAAGAGAGGCATAATTCTGGGATCAGGGGGCTTGCAGCCTCTTGGACTACAGCCCTGAATATTATTTTCAGTAACCTTTTATTGAGAAAGAACAAAGGAAGCAGCTGTGCAAATGGGAAGATATCAACCCATTTAGCAAGGACAATATAACTCAATTATCACATAAACAAGACTTGACTAGTTAGCCATCATGTTATCATTCCTTCGGGCATATCTCAGCAAAGCATTTAGTGTTGACCCCGGGGCTTTCCACAAGGATGCAGCTACTGCTGTCTTTTCCTTTCCACCAATGCTTTTGCTAGACTTCCTCTGGAAATGTATGAAATCCTCAGAAAGGAACAACAATCAACGTTTGGTCAATCCTAAGGCAATACATTGAAAGAGCAACTAAAGAATGTCCTTCTCCACAGACCATAACAGACATGTATGGCTCATTTCATTCAACAGCAAGAGAATAAAATTCTTCTCATCAGTATGTGGGACATTCTCAGATAGGTCATGTGTTATACCATAAAGCAAGTTTTTAAAAATTAAAATTATGTATTTGTCTTGTTTTCCCATTGCTTGGACAAAATGCCCAATACCCACAGTTAAATGAGGAAAAATTTACTTTGGCTCACAATTGTAGAAGTTTCAATCCATAGTGGGCTGGCTCCAAGGCAAGGTGGGCCATCACAGAGGAAAACAGCCAATAGCATTGCAGGCAGGAGCCAGTGCACCTTCCTTCTTCTTTCCCTTTTTATTCCATCCAGGCTACAACTAAATTGGTTGGTGCTGCCCACACCCAGGATGGCTCTTCCCTCTTCAGTACATTCATTCATCACCAACACCCAGAACAGTGATAAACCAGCCAATGGACTAATCCCATATCTCACAACCAAGATCCAATCACTCCCAAAAGCCCCACCTATGAGTGTATGAGGCTTTGGGGGGACATCTAGACATAAGCCATCCTCTTTCTAATCACATGAAATAAAATTAGAAATTAATAAAAGGATCTTCAGAAATTGCACAAACATATGCAAACTAAACAATATGCTCCTAAATGACCAATAGACCAAAAAGCAAATTAAAATTTGTCTTGAAATGAGTGAAAATGGAAACACAACATATTAAAATCTACAACAAAAGCAATACTGGGAAGTTT